TAAAACAAAAAAAGAAGATAATAAATAAGGATGAAGGAGGAAGAAGAAAAGAAATATTATATTAAAAAAGGGGGGGAACGGCAATTACGGTGTGTGTAAGTTTGACATTATATAATAATAATAAAAAAGAAAGAAGAAAGAGGTAGTGGGAAGTGGGACCCACTCTTTATTTTAAAACCACCAGACTTCTCTTGCGTTTTTCATTTCTCTTCTCTTTTCTTCATTATTTCTTGCGCGACACAGAGAGCAAAAACACAGAGACGGCGATCGCGACACCTACGATAGAGCTGATTTAGAAGGTGAAGCTCTTTATTAGGATATTTTAGATGAGATTTTAAGTATTCTAAGACTAGGTAAGTGTTCTAAATATTTTTTAGTTATTTTTCCGTTTGAGCTACAGATTCTGAAATTTTAGAAAACCTAAAGTTTGAAAAAGGAATGAATTTTGATGAGTAAATCTGATTGTTGAGATTGTTGGTAGGATAATAAATATTCTAGAGTATTATTTTGTTGATAGAATTGAAATTTGAGACATTTGAGTTTATCTATAGATCCCTATGGGTAGATAGATTTTTGGTTAAATATGAAAAGATAAATTAATTTGTTGATATTTAGATGATTATTTGAGATAAAAAATAAATTATTATAGCTATAGAATAATGATTCTAGGCTTGAAATCAAGTTTACAATTTTTGGGTATTTTTATATGCGAATTTTTGGAATAAAAAGGGAAATTTTGATATTAGAAAATTTTTGAATAAAATTATTGTGAAGGAGACTATTGAATCTAGTAGATAAGTTCAAATACATAAAATTAAATTTTAAAACTTAAGAGGCTAAGACTAAGGTCTTAAAAAATGAAATAAAATAAAATAAATACGTAAGTGTTAGAGTATGAGTGAAAATTGTGTTAATAATATTATTGACACATTAGGATATGATCAATTATAGATTAATTTTCTTTTGACACCATTCAAGCTTTGTAAAGCTTTGGAAGTGTTGTAACTTGAGGGTAACCTTTGCCTCTCAAAGGTTGAGGTAACTGGGGGAAATCTATTTTATGCATTTGTATGTTACTTAATTAATTATGTTGGTGAAATAAAAAATATATATGTGTGTGTGTGTGTGTGTGTGTGTGTCTAAATTTTGAAACGGTTGTTTGTAATGCATGTGGCTTTGTTGAGATTCTATGACTTGTGACCAAGTTAATTATGACTTGGTTTGAGTAATAAGATTGATGGTTGATGGTTATGTGTACACTCTTGGATATAAGTCGTGTGGATTATGCACAGTGATGAATGGTATGAGCATGTTGAGTTTTACATGATACTAATGTGGTTTTGTATGATAATTTAAAAAAATTGATGCAAGAGGCATGATTGAAATATGATGATTCTTGATGTTTGTTGAGCAAGAAAGTTGATGAGCATGTGGGATAATTTTAAATTATATATATGAGTATTTTGAAATGCATTTTTTCATGAGCATAATCATATAGAGGGAGTTCGCCTTAGTGAAGGAGTTGGCGGTTATACAAAATCCATATGGTACTTGGCTATTAACCAATAATCCTAGGGGTTATAGCCGCTATTTACCTTGTAAGATACTGTAGCATTGTTCCTATTAAGGGACTTAACCCTACTGGCCTACCTGAAGTTTTGGGTAGAGCTAGTTTTGGGTATGACACCCCATAGTGTGTGATTTGGGGGAAATTGTGTTCATAAGTGAGCAAGGTAACCCTGGCCCGGTGACCCCTCATGATATGATTAAGGCTTTGGGTAGTCTCACCACATGAACGATCCCTTCCGGTTGTTAGCCCACGGATTTCATGTCAGAGGAAATAAGGGGGGATATAAGGAAGAGATTGATCATGCATATTATTACTATCATGCCATTTGAGTGATTGATGGCTATGTTGAGAATATGATTATAATTGTAAAAATGAGAACATGTAGTAATTATGTGAATAATGTATATGTGGCTATTTGTGCAAATTTTATACTTGACTTTAATTCTTAAAATTATTCACATGAATTAAATGTTAATGTGATTAACATGTCATTAATGTGATTGTTTGAATAGTCACCTTGATAAATTTATTGGCCACTTGCATTCATGATTAATTATCATACATTTATATAACTTAGATATACCTTGATTATTGAGTGGTTGTACTCACCCCTCTCTTTTAACATATTACAGGAGCTAGCTCATCTGAGAAGAACAGAGAAAGGACCATTAGGCCAAGTGATAATAATCACTTCTGTAGGCCTCTCTCCTTTTATTTGATATGTGTATATAGTTTATGATATTGCCAACTAGGATAATATATTCTTGATCTACTTGCATTATAGGTTTTGTGTTGGGGGAAATATATTTTGGGCCCTGAGAAATGTGGTTTGATACTTATGTTATAATTACGGGCCAAAATATTTGTGCAAGTAAAAATAGTTATTATCATGCTTTCGTATAGGTTTAATTGAATGATATGAGTTCTTAAAATATTTTAAAGACTTAGGATCCTTTTATATTAAATACTTTAAAAAAAATACATATTGAGAATTCATTTGGATTAATCTCGTATTGGATAATCTATTTGGGTTAGACCTTAATTAACCATGGTTAGTATGATGATTAAGTCCTAATTTAGGACACTTATTACAGGCTACCTGAGTAACTACCAAGCTTTCTTAAATCAATTTTAGAGTTATTATCACCTTACTTCTCAGTTATGAGATCATAGAGACACATGCACGCACAAGTTACAACTTCAGTAAAGTTATAACTAGTCTCCCTTCAGTGACCTTGGAGTTTGAGAGTTATTACAATGACAAAGGTAACAAGAAAAAGATCAGGATGAAGCAAAAGAGCAGACTCAGATGCTAGATGAGACACAAAAAGCCTTACTAAATCATGTCAGTTTTTAAAGTCTTCCCATCATAAATTGAGAATTTATAGTCCTTGGAATGAAATTTGTAAATTTCCCACCAATTAAACAATCAACAGCTCGAGAGAAGCTTACAAGGATGTTGAGCTTTCCATGAAAAATGGAGGCAACAGTTTGCATTAAATTTTGACATTGGTGACTTGAGATCACATCGCAAACCGATCCAGTGACACAAAATCCTTTACTCCTCCACTCTTTCAAACACTTGTTGATGTCTATTGGTTACGGGAACATATATGCACAGTTGCTCTAAATTCTGCTAGTTCTTCTACAATGGCATGCCTGATTCCAAATAAAAAAAAATGAATTAGCAGTAGAAAGCACAGGCCAAAACAAACAATGATGAAGTTTGAATGAAACGATATTGTATTGAGACATTTTAAACTAAATCATATAGTATTTTGACATAGAAAAGAATCAATGGCCCAATAAAAAGGATAAAACTACAAATCGTCAATTCATACCCCCTGGTTGAAAATTCAACACAGAGCCAACAACATGAGAAAAATCAACAGGACAGCACTGCAAGAGAAATTAAGAACCATATTTGGCAATGATCTAGAAAGGAAATAACTCATCGAAGTGTCGCAAAAATTAAGAGCCATGCTTGGTAATGATCTGTAAGAGAACAATCAATAGGACAACACTGCAAAAAAAATTAGCAGGAAATGGCTAAGGCTGTGTCGCAGAGAGAGAGCTCATCGAGGTAAAGGAAATAAATCTCCAGAAAGGCTACTCTTGGTGATGATTTGACGGAGAAAGTCCAGATGGAGATACAGAACCCAATGATTGTGACGGCACCGACGAGAGGAGATGACGATAAAGCTCTGGTTTGAGAGTCTCAAACCTGACAGCCAGGAAACGATAAAGTCGACCTAAGGCATTGTTAAAAGCTTTATTAACATAAAAAATGAATGAATGGTTGAGATAAAAACGTAATGAACGGTAGAGATTCTCCATGGTTAATGAAATGATGCGTTTCAGCCTGATGAGCACCACGGTACTCAGCGGTCATTGAGTACCGAAACCAAACGCACTGGCAGTAGCAGCAAAGCAAATGTTGCATGAGGAAGCAAGAGATGCAAACCATGCTTTGGATATTAATTAGGGCTCGTTGAATTTATAAAGTTTTAACTCAATTTTCTTTCCATTTATTATTTAGAATTTCTTTTGGATAAAACAAGTTTAAAGATAACTCAAAAAGATTTGATATATTTTAAAACTCAATCAGATTTCTTATTATTATTACTATTTTTTTTATAAGGTAGTTTCACATATTTAATAAATTTAATTCCTTTAATTATTTATTTTTCATTTTTTTAGCCCAACTCATAAACTTATCTCATCTAAGATCCAACCTAATTCAAGGTATTATAAGCATCTTCGTTGTTTGCTTTTAGGTTCTTCATCATTACTATCATTGTTTTTCATCATCGTTCCTCTTTGTGATTTCTAGTTGGAAGGCACAACAATGAAGACAATAGGTGAGCCTCTCTCCATGACAGACTTCCATGTGAGAATGAGCAGAAGTAGAAGAGCCGCGCAAAAAGGAAAGAAGAGGAAAAAGACAATGCAGATGGGTGGTGCAATAATCTGCACTGGCGCGTTCATTGTTTGGGAGAGGAGAGTTACCCCTTTTTTTTTTTTTATTTTAAGGAATATTATAATATTTTTACAATTTATATTTAATTATAAAATAAAATAAAAATAACTATTCTTATCACTTCATATTAAATATAATTTTAAAATTTTATTTTCACCTTCAGTTTTACTACCGATCACAATCCTTTTAAAATGAACCCCGCGTACTAAACAAAGCCTCAAAGGCTAGGCTTATCCCCGAGCATTTTCCCACCTCCACTTGGACAAGACCAAAAAGAAAATGATACAGATGGATCTGTCTCCACCGTTCGATTAACATTTGATCCGATCACATACATGGACTCTTTGAATTTTAGCGGCCAATAATTAATTTCCCGTAAAAATCTTAACGTGCAGACCTTTTTTTTTTTTTTTTGGGGCCAACTTCAAAAAGTCACGACAACATATATTCATCATTTTCCATCAGGGCACGGAAAACTTGCTTCCGTCCCCTTCCATGGCATTCTCTGCAACTACTTCGTACTCTCCCCAAGTTCTCCGTGTCCCTAAAGGCCTGCCTCCGATCTCTGTTCCTCCTAATTCAGTCTCTTTTCGATTTTCACGACCAAATCTCCATCATCGAAAACCTTTTTCGATTCGATCAGTTCAAGTTCCAGGTACTTTACTTTTCTATTTCCTCTATCGGAATATTCTGTATGGCGCGATATTTTACTCACTATTTTCCATACAATATGAGGTTCATGGTGCTTACTTTATGGGGTTCAATTATTCACACGTCGTTGAATAATTATAACCCTTTCCTTCAATTTGAACTTGCGAATCATGAACATTACCTGGCTATTGATGTTTTGTCTATCAGTCCTTGTTATTCTCTGAGCAATTAATCGTGTATTGTTATGTGTGGAATTTTATATACTTAATTTTATTTTAGGGATGACTAATCTGCAAAATATTCAGATTCTCCCTCGTTGGCTTTTACATGTCCCATAAACTGTTTAGATGTTTTGTTTTGTTTTTTTGTTTCTTGTTTTTTCTAAGCGGAGTCTCTTTCTTCCGTTTGAAGGGTTTCTTACTCTTTGGAAAGTTTTGCAAAGATATTGTCAATGTAATAGGAGAACCTAGAGTGTTCTCAATTCCTCCGAATTGATGTGAGCCTATGTTAATATTCGATAGAGGAATGAGAACCTTTATGCAATTATTACTTTACTTGTTGAGCATAACTCTGTTTTTGTCATTTCTAATTTCAATAGGAAGTCCAAGGTTCCTTATAAGGTCAAGGCTTTGATCAAAATTAAGCATTGATACAAAGGTTTGATATATTAATGGTGTGCTGGCAGGAGTGAAGGGAGATAGGATGAAAGTTAACAAAGTATCAAACCATGAAGTTGGTCTTGATGCACATTGTCAATATTTACCCTTTCCTTTCTACTCATTTTCACATTAATACGGAGCTTGCCCTATCACACTACAATAAATTTTAACTTACACTCAATTTAGGATATATATATATATATATATAAAGTTTTGCATTGCAAGTTTTTTGTCACCTTTTCTTATGTGGCTTTTTTTAAAGCAATTTAATGGTCCTGCTGTTTGGTTTGCTTGCCAAAATGTGGAATATCTTACAGTCACAGGCTAGTTTTCTCAGCATTTTTGTGCATGTTTTTGGAGTTGAATTCAATAGTTTCAGAATAACATTTGTCATTGCTTTATGGAATACTTGATCTTTAGGCTAATAACAGTCTTTTCTCCACTAAATCTAACAGCTGCACCAATACCTGAAGGGTTGGCACCTGCGATTTCTCTTACTGATAATGCACTGAAGCACTTGAACAAGATGCGGTCCGAGCGCAGCCAAGATTTATGCTTAAGGATTGGTGTTAAACAGGGTGGTTGCTCTGGCATGTCATACACAATGGATTTTGAGGACACGGCTAACACAAGACCAGATGACTCCATTATTGAATACAATGGTTTCGTAATTGGTATGACTTTTATTCTTGTTCTTGTAGTTTATAGGACATTTTTTATCCCTAAGGTAGGGTTGGATGGTGTTGGCATTTGGGTTGTTATTAGATTGCATCTTTTGGGGAGCCCGCGTGTTTACATTTGGAATGAAACATTTACTCTTCAGAAATTAACTGATCTTCCAGGATTCAGATTCCAAGTAGCATAAAAATTTACCTTTTTTCTTCCTTAGTTAAAACCCATCAAAGATATATTTTCGCAATGATATTTTTTACTTCAACATAAGGTGTCTTCCAGTTCTAATTCTTGTTCGACCTTAGAGCTAAGTTTTAAAGTGTGAAGCGGTGTGGCTGACTGTTGTTTGTCTGTATTCAATTGTCCCATATTCAGGTATAATTAGGAAAAGTAATAGGAAATGCTAGTCAATTTTTGTCACTGCTTGCTCTCGAAGCTGGTCCACTGTTCACTTTTTGAATGGAATTCGAATTCTGAGACTGCAGTAAAAGCTTAGTCCTCTACATGATCTTCTTTAGTTTGAGGTTTCTTTGCTGAATTTTTTAGTAGCTGTGATAGAATTAGAATAGCAATGGTTGAAACTTTTCTTGCATAACTTCCAATGATTAGGCTTACTGCTTGTGATGAATAAAGGAAGAGTTACTTGGTAATGACTTCCTCTCAAGGAGTCAAACTGCATCTTGCTTTAAGTGCACTGAAGCAAAATATTTTGCGAGACTGTGAGTACACGCGAATTGTCAAATTGGGAACTTTACTATTCACATTAATTTCACTCATGCAGATTGTCTACATGCATAGATACATACATTTTCATTGATTAATAATATTCATTTGCCTGTGATTGAAGACATTTTGGTGAAATGAAACTGATTCAGGATATACTAGAGCCATAGCGACGGTGACTCTTCTGATTTACTGCTTAGATGATTGTCCATTCAAATGTATCGTGGGATTTGCTCGTCTTATTATTGTAGAGTTTTGTTTTATTATTATTAATTTACTTATTGCATGAAGCAGTATTTATTTTTATAAATGACCCTCAACTCCATCTGTTTTTGCAGTTTGTGATCCCAAGAGCCTACTCTTTTTGTACGGCATGCAATTGGATTACAGTGATGCTCTTATTGGGGGAGGCTTCTCTTTCAAGAACCCGAATGCTACTCAAACCTGTGGATGTGGCAAATCTTTTGCTGCAGAAATGTAAAATCAAAATTAGACAATATAGTGATTTATTTAACTATACTTAGATTGTATAATAACATTTCTAATAAATGGAATTTCCTTTGATGAATTGTCAAGAAGAAATTTGTGAATATGTTCCTGTTATTTTCATGCTTATATGATTACATCTGTTACATCCTTAAAGTTCAATGCTCAAGCATGAGCATTCATCTAACAAATACCAGTGTCCATGCAGTCTAATCTGCATTGTGGGTCCGCTGTTTACTTTTTAGTTTTGTGACCCCTTTAGTTGAAGGATTTGTGACTGTCAAATTTCGGTAGAGAAAGATTTGACACACTTGTTTCAACCTAGTTACAAGGCAAGAAAGTGCAGGCCATCCTAATCAGAACTTGATTGATCAGGCTAGGAAGATTTGAATGGGGACTGGAATATATCTATTTACTTCTTGTATAGAGAAGCCATTAGCTAATAGATATGCCCGTTTCCTTTGTACTATGTTGTTACAGAATTCTTTGGATGACTTTTTTTTTTCCCCTTGGTAATCAATGGCGCAAAACGCCCATCTTTAGATGACTTTTCTATCTCGAGTCATCTCCCTGCCTGGGAGATGATTGTGGATGATGAGAGGAGATTCGCTCACTGTCCCCCCTCCCTCCCCCCCGGGTTGAATTTTGTAATCTGTTCACCCACATTGAGCATATGGGCCTGTTTGAGATTATTTTTTTTTATTGTTTTGAAAATTAATGTTTTATAGAACATGTTTTGAAAAAAAAAAGAAAATGGATGTTTTTTTCATTCTCTTTTGTTCTTTAAAACAATAATATCAACACACTTAAAAGATATTTTCTTTTCTTTTTTTCATAACAATATTTTATTTTTTTTATTCTCAAAAACATTTTTTGAAAACGTATTATTGGATAGATTTTTTTTTTGGAGTATAGAAAATTATTTTTAAAATAGGTTACCAAACAAGCTCTAAAATATTATTGTTTTCTAGTTTTTTAAAAGCTAACTGTAAAGGTTAGGTACGTTGATTTTTTTCCCATTTAAAATGCAATAAATAAAAAAAATCTAAATCATTTTTCTCCAAGCATATTACATATAATTTTTTTATTTGAAGTTCTGAGTGTTTTCTAATAAATTAGAAGGTATTTAAAATGATTGTATATTGTACAATAAGTGATAAAATTTGCGAAAAAAAAGTGATAGCGTTGTATTGATTTTTTCTTTTTTACACGAAAAGAGTCCATTTTATCGATTATAAAAAAAAATTATTACATTCACTAATCATCAAAAGCAAAAGCTAAAAGCAACCTAGAATACAATCTATTGAAAAAGCAATAGTAGCGTTTATTGAAGTGTTTACTATGTAAAAATAGTCTACCAATTTTCTTAAAAATGATGTGGTATTTGGTCTTTTAATGTGAACTGGGATCAATCTCTTGCATGTTATAAAAAATACAAGCTCCTCATTCAAAGATGACTGAAAAACGATTTATAAATAATGTAAATTTTTATTATATACATATATATTTTGGCCGAATGTTATATATAATATGTAATATATTTAATTTAATTTATATATAACTATATGATATATCATGTACAAAAGAAGACAGAATAAATAATACCTATTTTTAAATTTATTATTTTGCTCATAATGTAAATATTAGTATTTATTTAAGAGATGTAATTTGTTATGAATTTAAAATTATTAGTATATTTGATAAAATAATATGCAAAGCAGTTGGGGGAAAATGAAAGGAGCAGGAGAAAGGAATAACAAGTTCCTCAAAATTACTGCCGTACTATATTTTACAGAACCTTGAGCAAACCGTTGAATCGTATCGAACGGCTCAAATCTAACCCGGACCTACTCATCAGGAAAACGCTGTTTCATGTGCTCGCTAGCAAGCGTTTCTTGACAGGGTAAGAATAAGAGGCTTGTCTTCTCAAACCTGATTGAACGAAGCCCTAAAGCTAACAGAAGGCGAAGAAACACTGAGCTCTGATCATGGCTCTCGCTTCTCGTATCGTTAACAAATCCAAACTGGTGAGCGTTTATCCTATATCCTGTCTGAATTACTTTCGATCTTAATTTCGCTTCACATTTTACGTTCTCGGCGAAAAGTAAAATGAGAAGTTGCTGTCGGGAAGTGTTTATTTTTCTTGTTATATGATCCGTGCAATATTCTGCATTTCGTGTTGAATAAACTTCTGATTCTGATTGATTGGGTGTCGGGATCTGCATAGCTTTGGAGTTCTGGATTGGGCTGAATGGAGTAAACGGTAACGCGGTTGTGTCCTCTGGTCACCTAGAATAATTGGTGAGGCCATTTCTGGAATGCAAAATGACGAATGATGTCACGATAGAGAATGGTGGCCGGGAAAGTAGTTAGTGACATTCTGAGAGCACAGCAAGCTGTGTCCGAATACTGAAAAAATCGTAAAAAGCGAGAGTTGTCTCTAGGTCTTGACTAGCTTTTGGGATGGTTAAGAATAATTTTTTTTGACATTTCAAGGCTTTTATTTTAGGAGGGCGTTGGCCAATTTGTCTCGATGCTATTGATTCTAACATTTAATTAGTGTGCTAGGGGGTGGGGCTAGAAGAAACATATGACATTGTGGCTTTATGATCCCTGATCACCATCATTGTTTGAAATACATCAAGACAATCCCCCAAAACCCCAAAACAAAGTTTTGGATTTTAGTAATTACAAATCTTTTTGAGTTGAATATGTGCAAATGAAAGAAATTGGTATGACAGTAGGGTATGTGTTCAACTTTGAACTTCTTATAACAAAATATGTAAAGTACTTTTTTCTGCCCTTTGTTTTAATCTGATGCCCATTTGACAATTGACGCTTGACACACTTGTTGGTTTTTTGTGAATTCTAAAGGGATGGGTTTTCCGATATGCACTTTCTGGTCATTTCTTTTAGCATGACAATAATTATGGCAATTTCGCTGCTGAAATTTTTTTTAATGGTTCTATTGTTCTCTTCTAATAGGTTTATGCTAGTCAAATACTTGTACAAAAGGAGCATGCCATTTCAGTACGTCACTTTGCCAAAGACTCCAGTCCTCCTGCCTTGAAGGGAGATCGTGAGTAATTTTGAGTATATATGTCTTATTTATCCATTCATTATAAAATTTAAATCATCCCTAGTAAGTAAATCTTGGGATCAACATCCAAGCATGTGCTGGTGCTAGTATGGATCTCTAACTGACTCCATTTTCAGCAGCATAAACAATAAAGCTTGTTGAATTGCAATCTGACTCCTTTATTTGATCCACTAGTTCTAGTTATCCTTCCATTGTGTATAGGTGCAATTTGGGTTCGCATTATATAAAAAAACGATTATGCAGCTAGAATTTGAAGTGTAATGGTAATTTTTGGGATGTCATTTTCTGATACTGTCCTTCTAAAATGTAAAAGGGATGTTGAAGAATGCTTTTTCGGAGGTGAAGTCTAAATTTGAAGCTGCAATTGGAATATTAAGGAAGGAGAAGATCACTATTGATCCGGATGATCCAGCTGCAGTTTCTCAATATGCAAAAATCATGAAGACAATTCGAGAGAAGTGAGCTTCTGCTTTACCTTGTTTCTGTTTAAATCTTGTTTTTATACACTCTTCCAATGATCTTGTAAAATTTCTTGTCCTTGTCTTTTATGTTGTAATTTTAAATTTCATGCTTACAATCTCTTATTTGTGGTGCAGGGCAAACATGTTTTCTGACGGTCAACGTATCAAACACACAATTGAAACAGAGACACAGGATATTCCTGATGCTCGGACTTATCTTTTGACTTTGAAGGAAATACGAATTAAGTATGTAATGATCTATTCGTTAACCATTTCCATTCTCTAACTCAGGTGTACTTTTTTGCTACATAATTGATTTCTTTTTAACTCCCTGAAAACCAAGATGTATGATTTTTGAGGTATGTGAATTGTTTTTTCCGTTCACTGTGCCCTTTTTTGAATTGGCAAACAACGGATTTTCTAACACTTGCTTAATTCCAATGTTTATTTTCATCCTGAAAATCTAGTCGCTCTGTGAAATTTGGTTATTTTTTGGAATTGATATCTACTTTTAACAATTGGGTACACATAAATGTAGATATATGTTTCAGGCACAAGGCAATGAGAAGCAAGCTCTTTTGCTTCAGGGTTTGTTGAATGTTCTTTATATTAGATCATTTATCCATGTTAATACTCTTTTGCAGGAGTGGTATTAAAGATGGTATTGGTGCAGAGGCCATGATGATGGAGGCATTAGACAAAGTTGAAAAGGAACTGAAGAAACCTCTGATGAGGGATGATAAGAAAGGAATGGGTCTTCTAATGGCTGAGTTTGACAAGATTAATAAAAAGTGAGCGAGACCCCTATATGTCCATTTTGATACTCTGGGCTACTGATTAAAGTGACTTATAGATTCTTTGGTTGGAAGGAAGATGCCTATGTGCTTAATCTAACTCATGAAAACTTTCCACGTTTTGGGAAGTTGTTTTTTGTTGTATTGTCGGCCATTTGGTCTGGACTTTATTACTTACCTTGTTCTGTTCCTTTTTTTAACCCCATGTTTTGGGGATGGGGATCATAGGCTTGGCATTAGGAAGGAAGATCTACCAAAGCACGAGGAGCAGCTAGAACTCAAAGTTGCCAAAGCACAACTAGAGGAGCTGAAGAAGGATGCTCTAGAGGCAATGGAGACTCAAAAGAAGAGGTAGTACTCATGCTAATGCTCACGACAAATTTCACTAGTTATATATTTATTTATTCCCTTGATGATGTGGGGCTCTGATCACGTGTATGGTCTTATTTTCTGCCTAATCTTTATACTTGGAGGTGACATGATAGAATGATCCCTTCGCTAGGCTTGGTTCAATGATTTAGGAATTTGGAACATTTGAAATATGATAGTGGCCGCTTAATTCGTGCCTATACTTGCACTATGATTCTTGTTTTACCATCCTATACTATTTTTTCACTTGTTATGTTGCCATTTCAGGGAGGAATTCAAGGACGAGGAAGCGGTTGAAGTCAAAAACTTAGACGTCAGAAACTTCCTCTAAGGCCTGTTTATTCACATGACTTGGATATGATGAATCCTTTCGCGTTTCTTCAATAAGTGGACACCATCAATTTGGGAGTGCAACGCTTAAATGGCAGTTGACAAGTTATGTAGCATCTCTGCATCTTTAATATTTCAACTTGCTGGTGTTAAAGACTGGAAATTGGGAGTTATCAATCTTGAAAATTTTCCCTTCAAGTTTTATGGCATTTTTTGTTCCATACTTTGTTGAGACGGGTTCGAGCCCATGTACTCTGTATAAAGCTTCATCAGGTCCTTGGTTCCATGACTAGGGCGATTGACTATTTCAGTCAGCATCAAGTATATTTTTCCCCCTTCTTTTTTCGTTCTTTCTTTCCTTCGTTCTTTCTTTCTTCAGCATTTTTAAGTGGTTGTTCAATTGCCCAAAGGGTTCGTCATCAAGAGATTCAAATGGCTACAATATCTTATGTCCCAAAAAAATGCTACAATAGCAAATGCATTATTTGACATATGTTTATACTTTTTCTAAAATAAAATTAAATATATTTTCATGTGTATACATATGTTTTAACGTAAATTTTACATTCATTGGTTTGGTTGGACAAAAAATAAAGCTTATTATTTGTTTACTTATAAAATAACTTTATTTTGACAAAAAGTATGTTTACTAAAAACAGAAATCAATCAACTTTAATACAAAATTTAATGCATAGTAAGTTTTGGAGAGAGAAATTTTCCCTCCCCTACATTTAACAAAACAAGGGTGAGGGGACATTCGGACTTGGTTTTTGGTGCTCAGCCGTTTGGCAGTAATTTTTTTTTTTTTTTTTTTAAACCACAAATTTATTATAATAATAAATAATTATTATGAAATTATTATTTTAATATTTAATAAACTAATAAATATTAAATGTTAAAATTGAAGTTGAATAGTTTGAATAAAAATTTTGATTGAGCATTGAGAACTGTACTAAAAAAAATAAAAATTAATTTGAATAATTTAAAATAGGAGTTAAATCTAACAAAATAAGCTAGTTTCTTATATTGTAATAAATTAATGTTTGAATTTTTATTAAGAGAAGTACCTATATTTAATATTTGATTATGCCTTAATGATATTATCTCTCATAGATAAATAACTATGCAAAATCAATAAAATAAAAAAATATTTTTATTTATAATTTTAATATTTTTAATACAGTTCTGAACTATTCAGATCAAAATTTATATATGAATTGTTCAAATCATATTTTAATGAATTAATCTGTTCATATTTAATTTTAACATCTTAATATTTATTAGTTTATTAAATATTAAAATAATATTTTTATAATAATTATTTATTATTATAATAAATTTGTGGTTTAAAAAAAGTAAAAGAAAAAAATGGCAGTGTTTTGGTGCTGAGCACCATGGTGTCATCCACCGAAACCGTTTCCGGGGACGCTCCCTTCCCCCCAACCAAACAATGTTTTAATGGTGGCATATCCGACCTAATCATTTTCTCTCTCTTGTCCCGTAGAATGGTGGCTTCTTTCTATAGTTGTTTCAAAATCTGACCGTGATGATGTTGAGAGAAAGATACACATGAAGGAAGCAACTCAGCAATCTCCCCCCCCCCCCCCCCACCCACACGACGACGACGACAAATGGTGCTGGATATATATTGGGTTATTGAAGTTGGACACTCTTAAGTTTTATAATTTTGTTAAAACCTGAACCCAGGTTTTCTTAGTTTCCCGCAGTTAATTGTCTGGCCGTGTTCCTTGTTTGCGACATGTATTCAATCGCCACTTTCTCTCTCTTCAAAGCAGAACTTCTTGATTCTGAATCCCTCTTCCATGCCAATTGTCTCCGAAATTCATTCGGACAGCGATCGATTCATAGCCCCACCAAACCCGCGCTAATTTCAATTCAACCTCTCGTATTTCGCAACTCCTTCAAACCCTCTCCTCTTTGCGCAGAGTTGGATTGTTCCTACAATCCCCGTGCACCCTCTTCAACCTGCTCCACTACTACTTCTCTCTCGATTCAAACAAGCTTATTCAAGCTTTTGTCGGAGAAGATAATGTTTTGTCTTTTAGGGTCGTTTATCTTGATCGGATGCTTTGACAGAAGAGTAGCTTTAGCTCTACCCTCTGTCACTTCAGACTCAACTTTGGAGGAGAGTACTGACGCCTTGAAAGAGAAAAGTGAGGACGAGGAAATGTACGAGAAGATTCTGGAGAAGGACCCGCGAAACGTTGAGGCTCTGAAGGTGACTTTGTTTAAGAAAATAAGGATGAGGAAGTCGAAGGAGGCTGTGAAGTACGTGGAGAGTTTGATTGATGCGGAGCCAAACGAGGTTGAATGGCGGCTTTTGCTGGCACTGTGTTATGAGACAATGGGGCACTTAAGTACAGCTAAAAGATTGTTCAGGGAAATCTTGGAGCAAAGGCCTCTCTTGATCAGAGCTCTGCATGTAAGATTTGTTACCCTCCTCTTTTTGAATGAATATCATTTCAATTTTTCAAACACCCTTCTATTCTAAGTGGGAAGGGAGAATTTTTTCGTTTTGGCCAGTCATTTATATGTTGACACTGATACATATATTTGAACATGAACTATTGGAATTTATGAGTTTTTGGAAATATAGTCATATTTCAATTTTTAGATGTTAGTTTGAGTGTTGGCTGTAATTATATTACAAGCCAACATGCTTGATGAAATTATAAATTTAAAAGAATTATTGTATTCCTCTTGATTATTATCATTATGAGTAGAACACCTAAGTCTTCTTCACCTTGTAGATGATTGTTCTTTAACCAATATAGCACAATGGCTATCAGTTTATGCAGAACTTACGGTTCAGTGATTAAATATTTTGAGGCTTAGGTCTCATATCTTCAAACTCGATTACAACATGCTTCTCAGTCGGTCTGTTATGGTTTCTTATTATTGTTATGACAAGTGGTCCTTGTTATGTTTTACAGGGTCTGGCTATTGTGATGCACAAAAAACATGAAGGTCCAGCTGTCTTTGAAATGCTGAATGAGGCTTTAGAATTAGCATACAGAGAAAAAAGAGTTACAGAAGAGAGAAATATAAGAATCTTAATAGCACAAATGCATGTTGCAAAGGTGAACTTTTATTTGTAGCAGTTACATGGTTTTTTTAAGTCCTCAGCTGTTACGCAATAAATCTCCTCTTGGTACTAAATTACAACCATGCACAAATTTTAACTATATCTTTTAGAGTGATGGTTTCATAAAAATACCATTTGTATGCTTTGCAGGGGGATTTGGAGGAGGGGCTAAAAAGGTTTCAAGAATTGGTTGATGAAGATCCTCGGGATTTCAGGCCTTATCTTTGCCAGGTGAGTTTGTCTTGGCAGGCAGGTTGTCTTGTGGCATTGTCAGTTGATCTTGTTCATATGTGGAAGGAATTTGTATGGATTATTCTAGAGCATCTACGAAAAATATTAAACTATACTAAAAACAAGTGTTCGTATAATTCATCTTTATGTCCAGTTAGCTGGTTAGCAGACCAATTGTTTTCCAGTCCATGCAATGCCTATGAAAGGATAAGAATGCCATGCCAAAGATTTTAAACTCCTTATCTCGTGTTCAAACTAAAATCCAGTTTAAGCATGTCATCTATTTGTCCAATTTTAGGTGGGAGGGGTAGGCATTTTATGGGCTAATTTGTCTGTTTAGGCAGTGTAAACAATTGCTAACGACTAGCTGATTATTCATTCATCTGGTTATAGCTTCATTCACCTTCTGGGTTTAGTAGTTCAAAATATGAGCATTAGAATGTATTTCAAATCTCAAGCGTTTCTTTTCACACTGGTGGGAAGGGGCTTTCTTGGAAAGAAAAGATGTAAACTTATAAGGATACAATCTAGAGGACGATCTAGGTGAAGGCTTGAGTTTCATAGGATTTATTCATCGGTCTGAGATTTTAATTTGATATGGCCAGAAAGGGATGTCAATCAAAATTGACTTACTGTGAATCGCAGTAGACATGGTTCTTGGATAAGAATGGTCCTTGGGGCTTTAAGAGTTCTTGGTTGTTTTTGCTTTTGTATGTGTCTGAACTCTGTCATTTCATTATGCATTGAACCTTAAAGATTTGTTTTTACATTCTTTTTCAGTATCTACCAGTTGATTTCTTATCCCAGTGGTTTGACTTACCCCTTTTGAATTGGGATACATTTGTTAAAGAACCATGAAAAGAAAAATTATTCCACACTAATATCTAATAGCCTATGATTTTGGGTAGGCTGGTCCATGATGTAATGTTAGGCTTCCATGGCTTGACAGTCAAAGCTGATGTTTGCTTTCCAAATTTTTCATAATTATATTAGATTTCTGCATGAAGTGAGAGTGGTCAGTGGAGTTGTGTTTTTTAAATGTTTCTTGTATTTGGGGCTCTTTCATTGAATTGTGTTAATTACAAAATCTATCACATTTCTTTACCTAATAACTTGAGCTTCTAGTTTGAATTGGTTCTTCTTAACAAATGCTTCTGTCTGTAGAATGACATTAGATTAGCAGCTGGCAATGACAACTTTTTCTGGTTATGGAGTTTAAACATCATCAAAATATGAGTGACAAGAATTTATTCTGCGGCGATTACCGAATTGATGAAAAATTGTGGCAGGGCATTATATACAGTCTCCTGGATAAAAAGGAGGAAGCTGCACGACAGTTCGAGATATATCGAGCCATAGTGCCTGAGGAGTTTCCACAGAGAGGATTTCTCGATGATGTCGTCTTAACAGCAAAAGGAACATCTAGAGAACAGTTTCAGAGGGAATTTGAAGCTCAATATTCTCACAGGAAGTAGATAGAGATCAACATCATGCTGTTCTTTTTCTTGAAATCATGAGTTCACTCAGTTGAATTTTGGTGGTTTGAATGCAATGTGGCTGAAGCTTTAAAGATCAGTCACTTTTATGATGTAGATCACTGTTCAGTGCCACACTTTGATCTCTGAAGTATTTTAGAGGGCTGAGATTATGAGGGAGGGAGGGAGGGGGGAGAGAGAGAGGTGAGTTTCATGAGCTTTGAATTTTGGTATGGTTCAAGTTTCGTGAGTCGATTCATACAGCTTTGTAAGTTCCTCCTAGGCTCCATCTCTTCGTCTCTAAACTAAACAACCCTGAATTGTAAAATACCTGCAGACAATTCATGTGACATGTTATTTACCTTTTTCTGTAATCCTAACTGTTATTTTATCAAAATCCAGTGGCTGCGTTTTTACAAGAATAGGGACTAGGTATTGTTTCAGTCCGATTATTGAAAATAATACTGAGATAAATTAATACTTCTGTGGAATTTTCGTTTTACCAGTGTTGAGAGTTCAATTATGCATATAAGCAGAGGAAATATTACGTTGATTCACCATCTGCTTTTGGTGTTTTGTTAATCTGTTATCCAAACTTGTATGAACGTATTAATATGATGAGCTGGTTATTATTAATAGTAATGGCCTTCAACAGTTACCCTTTTTATTTTTGACACTCTAAAAAGGTTATGAGATTGGGATAATTTTTCATTTCAGTTATTGTCAGATGTTATACAATCTAATTCTTTAGATATATTTCCTCTCATTTTAATTAGTTCTTTAAAATGAAATAAAAATATAGTTTAAAAGGAATATTGTTTTATTAACAGGCGTGACATACATTAAAGTTATTTTATAATTAATTAAAAATATTATCAGCTTGAATAAGATTGTCTTTAATGAGAGGATATTTGTGAACAATTAAAAAAATTATATATTTAACTTCATATTTTTAAGGTGTTATTGTCCAATCAAACTAAGACATGTGAAAAAAAAAATTTGTGCCTAGAAAATATGAATACATTTTTTAAAATTTGGAAATGTAGCATGTTTACATTGATATATAATGGGTTTATTGTTAAAAATTTGAAAACTTATTGGAGATTTATCATTGATATATAATGGTGTATTATTGACAAATATAATAAATTGACCATAATATAAAATATAGTAAATGTTAGTCTATTTAGTTGATTTAGTTTTATACAAATATAATAAATTGGCTATAATATAAAATATAATAAATGTTAGTCTATTTATTTAATTTAGTTTTATAACATAAGCTATATCTACAAAAGTCTGATTTTTTTTATACATTATTTATTCTAGACAAACTTTTATCATTAATATTTTTTACAATTTAAAATTCACTTGTTCTTATATGATTGGATAAAAATATATTAATTATATAAGATTAAGTATATATTTCATAGAATTTAAAAAATAAATTGAGATAATTATTCATTTTAAGTTTCAAAGAGTAAAGTATGATAATGATTATTTATAATTTTGTAGATAATTTTATAAAAGGAAAATATAATAGTAAGTCCTGTACTTTGATTGCCTTTTATTTTTAACCCTTATCGTTTTATTTTGTTATTTTCAATCCCTTGGTTTAATCTGTTTATAATGTTAGTCCGTATAAAAATTTGAGCGTGGTGAATGACACAAAACTACTCACTTTATGAATGTTTTATGTGACTTGATAATAACCAAGTCAGAAATTTGGTCATGAGTGTCTTATAATTTTAAAAATATACATAAAGAACTAAGCTTACACTAGCAAAATTAATTTTTCTGTACATCTGTAAACTTTTTCTGACACATGAATGATTAAAATCTGAAGGTTAGAATGAAAAAAAAATTTATTTTATGATGGTTAAATGTCATCTTTATTTTTTATTTTAAATTTAATTATAAATTAATTTTATTTTTTAATATTAAATATTCATTCTCTCTTGCTTTTTTTCTCACCATCTCTTTATAATAGTGGACCTACACTATATTTTTTAATTTTTTATTATAAAATATTTAAATTGAAAATGTCTATTAATCATTCGAATAAAAGTTAGAAGGTAAAAATAATTTTTAATCTAATAAAAAAATGATGAAATCCACTAATAAGCAACAATAGTTAAATGTTAAATGTTTTTAATAGTAGAGTGATGAGGTGAGAAAAGAAATCTTTAACGGTGAATGATAAAATTGAGAGGTAAAAATAATTTTTAATTTTTTTATATTTAACTTAATTAAACAAAATGTAGGAGACAACAAACACGAAATTTGGAATTAAGTACATGTAGCAAAATTAATCCGTTCCGTGCCTGCTTAAGATTTTTCGAGTCTGGAAGGTTTCAGTGACTTCCCACCCAGTTCTCATGTCTCTGGAAGTTGCTCGTCTTCTTGCGCCCGTTCATGGTATCGGTTTCCTTCGAAACCCTGCTCTTCACTTCTCCTCATTCTCTTTCCCTTTTCCTTCTCTCCATGGAGCCTCAACATTTTCTCGCTCATTTTATGTTCATCCGCCTACACCCCTCGATACGCCCATTCTCGTCTGTCTCCGGCCTTACCGGCTGTTTCATCGGTGAATCAGGCGGTGACGGCTGAGCCTCCGGTGAAGATGATTGCTCTGGTGGGTGAAGGAGCTGTTAGTCCTCTGAATTCTGCATCCTGGGAAGAAGTCATGCTTCACACTGTTAAGTAGCCAAAAGTGCTTTTTCTCTGGTTTGCTCGTCTTTTTGTGTTGCTCCTTTTCACCTGAATACATGATATTTGTTTGCTCATGTGTGTAAAAGAGTTCTTGAAATGGTAGTGGGGGAGCATTTGACTGGTACTAAAATGTTCAAACTGCATGCTGTTCTAATATGAGCGTTCACATGTTTCATTAATTTCTTGAGAAATAAGTTTCATATCTACCATGGAGAAGCTGTTGAATTGGGGCGGAATAAAGAGAAAAAGAAAACTGATGATCTTGCCTTCAGCTAGAATGCATTTCAGGTCTTAATGACAGAAATATCTTATTTCACTCGCTCAGATAATTTTGCTGCACATGGATTATGTTTCTAAAAATATTTTTGTTACATAAATAGTTCGATTAATATATTAGGTCGGGTCAGAACTACTAACTGGTCTTTTTATCTCATGGCAGGCAAAAAGACTGAAATGGGTTGACGAAGGGTATGAACTTCTTGTATTTACTGATGAATGCATTCGATCTAATTCTAATGGAGATCTGACCGTGAGACTTAAGAGGGAATTGCTTCAAACCGATATATTGGTGATTGTTTCTGTTGCACATAGAGAGTCAATTCAGTGGATTAAGATCAATAGCAAAGATATACAAAATGTAATATGCTTTGACTCTTCACCAGATATAGAGAACAAATTAGGAGGCTGTTATATTCATAATGAAGCTAAAGGAAGCCTATTTGACAAAATGTTTGGAAATTCTCAATTGGATAAAACAGGAGAGTCATCTAGAGTGGTGCAGACTATATCTGAAGCATGGGTTAGACATAATTCTGATGACATAAGGTTCTGTTTGTTGGTAATCATCAATGCCTATATAAAGCCAGTTCCAATATTAAAGAACTTGAGATCAAAGGGTTTTTCTACCTTGAACTGCATGGTGAAGAATTGTGGTCAGGAGATACTTAATTGCTTGTTGGATTCCAATTGTAGAAAAGCTCTTCAATGCTTAAACAAATGCAGTCCTGTTGACCAAGTATGTAACTACCGCTGTATTGCCTCATACGAAAGTCCCAATCTAGAGGCGTTTTCGCTTTGTGTATTACAGAAAAACAACTGTCTAGAGTTGGATGCGAAAATCCCTGATAAGCCATGCGTGCCTCCGATGGTTGAATTTCGCGGTAAGAACTTGTGTCATGACATGTCTGAAGATCTCTTTGTTGGTTGGTTAGGGGATTTGGAATGGAGTTGGCGTGTCATAGCAGGGCAAAACCCAGCATATGATCAATTTCCATGCCAGTACCAGCTATTCTACAGGGGAAAGGCAAAAGGATCATTCTGGTATGAACCAGTTTTCCAGGTGAGAACATTAGAGGGTCAGCTGGTCTGGAGGAGGAGAAAATATAGGGTTAAAAGAGGTAAGATTCCTGGGACATTCTATTTCAGTGTATTGGATAACGGAGTTGTTTCAAATGAGTTTTGGACAATTGTGGATGTATCTGATGATCTTAGTTGGGGTTTGTTCCATTATCATGGTGCTGCTCGAGTTGCAGGGCAGTCTTATACTGGGGCAGTTCTTGTTAGTCCAGATGGTGCATATCCAAATGACACAGCGAGGGAGAGAATAGTTGTTGCCTTAGAAAAATGTGGGATTAAAGAGTGGGAGCTTTTTAGTGTTGACAATTGTTCATGCATAGATCCTCCCTTGGGAATTCCAGAGGGTTCGAGATTACATTCTCTAATCTCAATTAGAGATCCGAATTGGGTTCCTGTCTGATATATAACTCAGTTGAAACTTTGATTTGATTGATCAGTATTCTCATCCAGTTGTATCGCTTGTATATGCATTGGGTTTGGTGTACATGCAAGGTGAAGGTGATGCATTCAGTTACTTATTTGTGATTGTCTTCGCAGAGCCATTAGCCGAATCATGCACAGATCCCGGGGGACATATAGATTGGAAGAATTGGTCAAGGTCCAGAGCTATAATGCCCAATATCTAATTGATCAAACTGACGCCAGTAGGCTGTGATGTGCAGTAGTTAAAGAAACAATATTTGTCCTCTTAGTAGGCACGAAGCTGATAATCTAATAAATAATCACACCTTGAAGAAATACAAACGCTGTGCGTTCATCTGAAATTTCGAGAGCATTAAAAGCACTGGTTTTGCATACTGTTTATACCAACGGTAATGATAACTACAATAGCAGAACAGCTTAAAAATATGAATTAACTTAAGCTCAACACTTGGGTTCTGTAATCTTGCGCCGGTGATACAAGAAATACAAACCTATTGTTGAAATAGAAAATCAAAATTTGGATATATTTTCCTCTAAGGGATCGCATTGATGTTTAAATACTAATTACGCCTTACGATGGATCAATTTCCCAATGCAACGAACAAAAAGACACAAGACACTACCCTTTATGAGAAGAATGATTCTACTCCGCCGTGAAGACCAAGACAGGCAAATCCAATCCATTATCTGATGCCTCTACTATCATTTTCCTTCGATTTCGCTGGAAACGTATCAATATTTATCAGTGCTCTATATTTTGTATCAAAATTCAGTGATTCATGCTACTGACTAATCCTGCAATCATGGTTTTGGCTTTCATGTTTCCCATTTCATGTTCAAGTTTTTTTCCTTTTGTTGGATTTATCATGTCTTTCTTTACCCCGCTTCTTGTCACTCTTATGACTCCCCTTTTCCTTTCCAGGCTTGATGTCACTTCTGCTCGATTTTAGACTAATTAGACCACCTGAGGGTATTTTTCCATCATTATTTTGCAAAGCATTCTCAAAATCAGCTTCCCCGTCTGCAATGGCATAACGTTGGAGTGATTCAGGAGTGAAGAGTCCTTCTGATTTTGACTTCATCTCCTCCTATAAAAGTTAATCAAGTTAGAGCTCCTACATGGAAACAAGGATGAGTTTTAAAATCTTGGACCAATATAATGGACGTGAAGGCGTGTACCTCCACTTGTTTAGCTGCATTGTTGAGATCTTCGTCCACAGAAACACTATGGGGTTCCATGACAACCTAAGGACAGAGATAAAACGTCTTTCGTAAAAAAGAGGTGCAAGATGAGTATAAATGCACAGAGACATAAAACAGAGATCAAGGTAGCTGCAGAAATTATGTCATACTGCCCAAATGCAGGGAAGGAGGTCAGTCACTAACCAAAACCTTTGCCACTAGAGCTAACGAAAAGCATCACACCAAGTAAATTCGTAATATAATTATACCAACAATAATGATAAACCCTAATCCATTGAGGTCAACTATATGAATGGCATGATGGCATTTTGCTCTATCAAACACTGAAGCTATACCATTATCAATTAACTTACTTCTTTTAGTCGTGGCAAGGTTGACTCGATCTCCTTGGACTCAAGGCCATGTAGGTATTTGTAGAACTTCTTCATAACCTTTATGAAGAGAGACAATATTTGCTGTCTTTCCAACTTCGTTTGTGCCTGTAAAAGAACGTCATTTTACCTTTAAATGTTTGATTGGAAGAGGAAACTGATTTAATATTATTATCCGAGACTAAGGATTTCTAACACAGACTAAACCAAGCAATGAATTCCGAAGTGACTCGTTGACTCCAACAACACATACGGCTATAAGCCATGGTAAATTGACCAAACTTCAGACTGAGGAAAATCTAAAATCTTCTAGATCGTTTAGTAGGATTGTGGAATTAGTTAGTAGGTTGAGAAACACACCTCAATGTATGAAATGTTCTGATTCTGCAGGCCAATGCAGAGTAACACAGAAGCCTGAACATAAGACAATGTGACTGGAAGTTTTTCTTGGAAGTAGAGATGTGCGAGGATGGGAACAAAGTCTAAGATCTGCAAGAGAAAGAAGAGATCTCACTTATAGCCATTTCATATCACATAACAAAATCAGATATTCAGATGCCAAAATATGACCTTAGATTGAGATTCATATCACAACTTCAGTGGTATTTTATCTTTATGGGTGCATTACATTTGCGGTAATATTTAGGTTTCCATTCATGAATAGGTTTGAGGACCATCTGACTTCCAAGCAGGAAATTTTTTCTAATTCCTCGGAAACAATTTTTACATGTTGAAGCACATGATGCAAAATCAAGTGACAAAAAAAAAAATTAACAGGCCTGATCACTGACCAAGTTTACCTACTCAGAATGGTCATTGAAAGTTTTCTTTAGTTATCAAGTAAATAAATAAGCATGCTGAATCAAATTATAGTTGAGTTCGCACTTTTGTGCATGTTTGTGTAGCACATATGTGCAAATATCAAGAAATTATTAGGCAATGTCAATTATAATTGCATCCACTATTGGAGATCTTACCAGATGAAAGTCAGCAAGATTGTCAACATAAGCCTCTAGTCGCTTCATATCATGCGGTGACAAATATTCTCTAACTGGCCCCAGAGATTTGTCAGAGTTTTTGGAAGTTTCTAACTCCATGAAATTGATTTTTGGATCTAAGACACTGAAAAATTATCACATCCATGATCATGTTGACTAGTTGACATTTATATGAGAAAAACAGAACCCCAAAAGGAGAACAATCAAACATTAAACTGGGGAACAATTTCAAAGTATGATATGAGGACACCAAAAGCTTGGAACCCCCACCTTTTAAGCGAAAATCAGGCTACCACTAATAAGCCAAGACTCAGGTTAAACATCATAATATCCAAATTGTACCTCTTCAACTAAGCAAAATTATCAAATACCAGTTAAAAAAAAATCAAAAACCAAAAAAATGATTTCCATTCTTCACAGAATATATGCCATTGAGAGAGAGAGAGCTTGTCCATATTCAACTAAGCAATGTAATGTTAGCCAAAAAAGTGGAAAACGATCTTGTCCATTAATAAATCTGACAGAACAAACTTTAAAAATTGTACCAGTTTGTTGAAGTTCAAAACTTAAAAGGGAAGTTTTATTAAACTGTTATAAGACTAGTTATATTATATGGTAGTGAATGTTAGATTTTAAAAGGATGGCAGGAGAATAAAATTGGAGTAATAGAGATGAAAACATTGAGATGGATGTGTAAGTATATATGTAAAGATAAAATTCAAAATAAGTATATACAAAAAAAAGTGAGCATGAGATCTATTGAGGGGAAAAAGGTAGAAACTCATTTGAAATGATTTGGACATATATAAAGAAGACCGTGGGGGGCATTGGTGGGAAAAGTAAAATGGATAATTTTGAACCTGTAAAGAGAAGTGGAGGAAGGCCAAAGAGAATACATATAAAAGTTGTTGACAGAGATTTTTAAGTTAACAACATTTCTAAAAATCTAATAAATGATAAAACACAATGACATAGTACAATACATATAGCCAACTCACCTAGTGGGATAAAGCTTGTTGTTATTGTTGCTGTTATTGTTAAGGTTCGAAAACTATAAAGCATCCACATCCATATTCAAGAAGCGACAGCATTGCATTATCAAATATGTAATTCTAACCTCATGGCAAGCTTGTATTCCATTCCACGGAAACTGGATGCCAAAAGTCTAGTAAATCTTTGTCTAAAATCTACAAATTATTAAATGAATCATCAGTTAAAACAGAATGATCACAGATTGAAATTTGAATACATCATAATATCAAAGCAAGGTGAACCCACCTTGGTAAAATGGACCAAAAAAGCCCCATTGATCAGATCCATCAGCTTCAATTTCATCATTGTTCAAAGGTTTCAGGATCATACATGTATGCTCACCGGTCACAGTATTCTATTCAGTTGGGAAAATATATAACAGTCAATTTAAGAATAAATATGCAGTACCATAGTCCATTGCTGAAGAAGAAATGTATAAATTCATCTTAACTGGAATCTGGCCAATGTAGAAGGGAGCAAATTTATGCTTCCTCCAAAAGCGAAAAAGATCTAAAGTTAGCCCAAAGGAGACACCAACATAATGAAGCTTCTCTGGCCGTCTTTCACGCAGATGTACAAGCAGATGGGGAAGATCTGTCCTAGGTCTTACATTTTCTTCAAGCAGAGAAACCTGCAATCATATTAGTATCAGGAAAGGAAAAATTAGTATTGGAAAGACATATAGTTGAAAGATAAAAATAGGTTGATCCTCATTACTTATGATATAAATACACAAGTAAGCATTGTACTTAACTCTTGAAAAATATATCAAGTTATCCAAACCTATTCAGAAAAACAAGTATTGTAACAGACCTTCTCTGCAGCTTCTGTAACCCTAACTTGTGAAGCCTCCACTACTTCTTCAACATCCGTCTCAGAGATAGGAGTGAGTTGTCCTTCATAATAACTGCAGATGATACTAGATGTTAATGTGTTGATTTTACTTTATACTTATAAGGAGAATGTGTAGTAACTATTAGTGAACTGAGGGTCATACTGCAATGAAAGCAAAGAATGAACCATGCACTCACCGTATTAAAAGCTCGACTGCTTGTGAACCATATCCAAGCTGCAATGCATGAAAATGGAAAGAGTTAGAGGATGAGGTTAGTGCATTGGAAGAATTTGGTTAAACAAAACAATTGGCCCAATTTCCAGAACACAAAAATTACCCTCATGGCACTTGGGTGGGTAGCAATGCGTACAATGCGAGCCCCAGAAAGTGAGGGAAAAACTGTGTCTCGAAATTGCTCACAGAATTTCCATGGTATTTGGTCTCCAAAAGGTTGATGACCATCACTCAAACTTTTAATTGCTGATTGACGAGATATCTGCCCCTCAAGGCAGACCTGTAAATGAAAATGGTATAACGTGGGAAGTCACAAAGAGAGAAGATTGCTTAAAGGCAAAAGGATACTAAGC